AGGTCGCTCCGGCGCGAACCTCCGGCGAATCTTGGCGATACGTCGCCCAGGAGCCTGACGAACCTCGGCGACCCATCGGCGCACCGAGCGCGACCCTCCGCGAACCGATAGCGTACCGAAAGCATACCAAAAGCAAACAAATCTTTTTGCGTCGGGTGTGCACGAAATCGTTGCAAATCTACGGACAAAATTGTCCCTTGACATTTAGAGTGTACAGCAGCTTAAGGGATCATGAAATGCACCTGTGATCAAAATTGGAACACGGTAAGACATTCCGTTTTCGCGCAGCAGCCAAAAATGTGTGAATTTGCTCAAAACCATCCCCTAAGTTTACGCCCCTTTAGCGACAAAGCGGGGTGGAATCCGACGGTCGCCCCCGCCCTCACAGAAGGGCACAACCTTCATATTTTCGGGTACCGAGAGCCAAGCCGCTAACAGCACTTATTCAGGCTGCCGCGGGCCCGCTAAAAGAAGGAACTGCTTTGCACCGCGCTCGGGCCGGTGGCTGACGAGCACACACACGGACTTATTGTCAAACTAGTTTCTCGTCCGAAATTCGTTACCTATCCTGCAAATTTGAAGAAGGTTGTTAGACTCGTCAATTACCCACCAAATTTGCACAAATGTCAACGAATTTCGAATGAGAAACCAGTTTGACGGCACCCGAAAAGATGAAGGTTATGCCCTTCTGTGACCGTGGGGCCACTGTCGGATTCCACCCCGCTTTGTCGCTAGAGGGAACTTAGGGGATGGTTTTGAACAAATTACCACATTTTTGGCTGCTGCTTGAAAACAGAAAGTCCTACCGCGTTCCAATTTTGATCACAGGTGCATTTAATGACCCCCTAAGCTGCTGTAAAGCAGATTTGCCACCACTCCCCCCTGAGGGGCGTAAGTGTCACAAGGGTGGTCACCCCTACCCTAAGGGTAGATTTTGAAAATCGTCGCGTTTTCCACCGGGTACTTTCTCAGTGCGTCCTACACATTCCGAACTCCGAACTGGAGTTTCCAGACTTTTCCAGACCTCCGTAGTGTAAAAAATGTGGAAATTACAGTTATGAGTTGGACAGTTAGGGGTACCCGACCTAAAATGATTCTTCGCTAAACGTTTGCTGTTTGTTCACTATCGGTAGGCGGAGGATCGCGCAAAGGACGCTAACGTGACGTAAGGGATCGTCTCTGTCCTCGTGGAGGACTGAGATCGGTCCGCCAACGAGTCGCGCTGTTTTCTCCTAAACGACGTTAGTACGCATTTGGGTCGTCATATTCGCCTTGAAAGCGACTCGAGTACGCCTTCTGTTCGCCTGGTTGGTCCGGAGGGGCCGTGGTCATCGGGTATTTTCCTTCCTAGGAGATCCCGGCCGAGCGCTGGCGCTAATCCCTCGACCGCGCACTCGCGAGCTGGAAAGGGGCGGCCCCGGGACGCCTGGGGTAGCTGAGGTCTCGTCTGCTTTGCACACTCTGCTGCTGGAGCCGACGGTCTCCACTGTTAGAAAAAGTTCTGGGATTTCACGAATGAACACTCGTGAAAAATATTGCCTAAGTCCTTTGGGATTTCCCAACGGACTCCGTACATTTTACTTGCCGAGTTTAGCTTCGGCTTCGAAACACTCAGGCGACCAACAGCTGCTTTCCGACATGAAAACTTAAGAACGGAGTCCTCTGGGAATTTCTTGTAGTGGTTGAGAGAGAATCTTTGTGAAATCCCAACACATTTTTAACAGTCGTCAGTCTGAGAGTGGAAGTCGCAGAGGAATGTGGATGCACTCGGTCTTATTTCTCTAGCTTCGTACTACCTCGCGCCATCTTATCGGGGGTCGAACCGAACGCCGAACGTGAATGTGAACAATCATCATTCATTTTCATTCATTTTTAGTCATTTTTAGTCAAATTCAGCCATCTTCAGTCATTTTTTAGTCATTTTTTACAGTCACTTTCAGTCATATATAGTCACTTTTTGTCATTTACAGTCAAAAACAGCCATTTTCAGTTAAAAACAGCCATTTTTAATCAATTCCTCCTGTTTTTGTCATTTTTAGTCATGAACTCAATTTTTAGTCCCTTTTAGTCATTTACTGATTTGTAATCATGAGTCACTGTACACGAAAAATCAACACGGAAAATCAAAGTGACGGACCCCTCGGGGGAGATGAGTAGGACGGGGGGGGGAGGGGGGGAGGGGTGTTCAAAACCTGCAACGTGATGTTCGTTTGTATTAGACATCTTTTCTATGCATTCCGCTAAATGTGTGTAATTTTGTATTTGGCGTTCTGCTTCCGCGTGCGAAAACAAATAAAAACCATATTTAATCTACAACTATTGTGAAATGTTTGCAGGCACGCAAGCCCAACACACAGATAACCTTTATCATGAGTAGTAAGCACATTACTTAGTCGCGGTCCGCCATTAATATGATGGCACAATGTCGCGGTCGCCATCTTGGGGGCCTCTAAATTAACCTAACCTAATTTTGGGGGGTATCTTGGGGGGTGCCTAACCCCGTACCTAATTTTTAGGGGTGTCTTTCGAGCACCTAACATGACCTAACCTATTTTTAACGGTGTCTTGGAGGGCTTAACTCGTACCTAGATTTAGAGGTGTCTTTTGAATGTCTAACTCGTACCTAAGTTCGGGAGTGCAAACCCACCCCCTCAAAAATCGAGGATCGACTGCAAACCCACCCCCTAAAAAATCGAGGATTGAACAAGGGTTTCTAACCCACCCCTAAAAATATCGAAGATCGATGGAAAGGCGTAAGTCAAGGGTGGTAACACAAACTAAGCGTGACACGTCACGACACGTCACGACGAGGTTTGGAAGGCCGTAAGTCAAGGGTGGTAACAACCTAACGAGGATCACTGACACGTCACGACACAAAACCGTGATGCGACACACACAGAAGCAAGGTGTCAGGATGGCCGAGTGGTTAAGGCCAACTCCAGCCAACTGCCGCTGTGTTAAGGCGGCGTGCACAAATTACGTAATACGTTTAGGGGGGGGAGGGGGTTGGCCAAAAAGTTACGGTCGATGACAGGGGGGAGGGGGGGTCTCAGGCTGAATGACGTAGTTTTCTTTAGTACACAACGATTGACATTTTATATGAATTTCCGGCAATAAAAAGATGCAAC